AAAAAAAAAAAAAAAAAAAAAAAAAAAAAAAAAAAGGCTCGACTGAGAGGATAAGTTGTGGAATTGACAAACATGGTGACTTGATTAAAATCATTCAGATGCAATCATCAGTTCTGCATTTCATTTCGCCGCAGAGCTGATCAGGCATGTGGTGTTGGCATCACCAACCACGACAAACGCGAGACATGAACGAGGGGAGATGCAATACCGGTATAGCAACATCGACGACACCAGTAAAATGGAGATTAAAAGTTAAAACGAAAAAGAAAAAGAAAAAGAAAAAGAAAAAGAAAAAGAAAAAGAAAAAGAAAAAGAAAGAGAAAAAGAAAGAGAAAAAGAAAAAAGATATGAAAGCAATAAACTGAAGGGAGGGAGCTCCAGACGTGCCGAGACGACAGCGTCGCAGCACACAAAGAAAGAAAAAAAAAAAAAAAAAAAAGAGGAGAGAGAAGGTACATGATAGAGAGAAGACTCAGACCACAAAGGTCAACGTTTCGTAATCCCTTTTTTTTTTTTTTTTTTTTTCTCTTCTTCTAGCATTCAGAATCATCTATGGCGACGCCTGGAGTGATGACGGGCGTGCCTCCATGAACGGAAGATAGTGGCCCCAAGATTACTATCCCGCTGCCATCTCCCTCTAGCCATCTCTCTCTCTCTCTCTCTCTCTCTCTCTCTCTCTCTCTCTCTCTCTCTCTCTCTCTCTCAGAGGGTCGCTTTATTCCCTTTTCTTCCTTCTCCATTGCCTCCCTTCCGCCTGTCCGATTCCATCCGTCAACTTGCGCCCCCCATCCCCATGCCCCCTCCCGATCGGCCCACCACCAAGGCATATCCACATTTACCCTATGCATCTCATGATTCAGGCCCTTCGTCATTACCCTGCTCTCTCCTTTTTCTTTGCCTGTCCCCCCCACCTTCCGTCTGAGATCCTCTTTTTCCCCACCTTGTCCCCATCCCCCCCCCCCCCTATGCATTCCTTACCCTGTTCCCTTGGCCTTCTTTCCCCCACTGCGCTTCATCGATTCCTACATCCTTACCCTGAACGGCTGGCATTACGACACCTCCTCCTCCTCTCGATCCCTCATCCTGATCGCCCCACCCGAAATCCACGCTCCCCATCCCCTTCTTCCCAAATTGGGTCCCCGACGTACATCCTCCTCTCCTCTATTTTAGGACCCTCCTCGACGTCTTTCTCCTCCACAGCCTCCTTACCGCCGGCAAACTTCCATTGCATGCTTCACCCTACCCTTCTGTGTGTTCTCCCCCTGCCTCTCCGCATTCACGGCATGATCCCCACCTACTCCTTCCGATAGAGGCGATGCATAAATCCTGTCCCACTCGCAACATCGCACCCCCCACCAAATGGAGCTCCAGATGGAAGGAGGAGGGACGGGGGGAAGCCACAGACACAGAGAGAGAGAGAGAGAGAGAGAGAGAGAGAGAGAGAGAGAGAGAGAGAGAGAGAGAGGGAGGGAGGTTGGGTGCACTTCGCGCACGCCGGGCGAACCCACCTACTTGGTTTTGGGGCGAAAGCGAACGGAACTCTCAAGAGAAGGGAGAAGGGGGGGGGGAGGAAGGGAAGGAGGGAGGGAGGGAGAGAGAGACGACAAACAGGCAGACAGAGAGAGAGAGAGAGAGAGAGAGAGAGAGAGAGAGAGAGAGAGAGAGAGAACGAAAGGAGGAGAGGGAGGGAGGGAGGGAGGGAGGGAGGAGGGAGGCACAGATGGCGCACTTGGCCACGCAGCGGGGACAGACCTATTTCCTTTTTGGGCCGAGTGTGAATGGAACTCTGCTCATCTTCAGGCACAACACCGCAGGCACACAGAGGCAGAGGGAGAGGGAGAGGGGGAGGGGGAGACAGAGGGGAGCAGCACTTCCGCACGCCCGTTTACACGCAGGTCGATAAGGTCGATTCTGCTCAGCCTGCTTATTCCTTTCTGGGCGACCAGCACGGAAGTCCCAACGGGCGCTCAGCCTGCCAAAGAAAACAAATGCGCTTCTGACAAGCCAATGTGCCTAGCTCAGTCGACACACCCATGAACCGATGAAATTAAATAAACCAGAGTCCTTTTTGAATCATCTGGGCTCTACCGTAGTACTCCTCTTCAATTTCGCTGGTCTTCTTTTAGGCGTTGTCATGATGCTTAGCTCCTCCATTCTCTCCCCTCTGCTTGTTTCCTTTCTTCTAGCTGGAAGCTTCTTGGTAGCTCCTGTGGCATAGCAAGGTTTGATAGGTTGTTTCCTCTT